GCATGGCGGCTTTCGTGGTTTGAAATACTCTCAGACGAAAAGTGCTTGCAAACATCCGAGATGCGCCCTTGCATTGTTGAAGTTGCCCCGGTTGCCGCACGCTTGCTGCCAGATTCTGTGGTGTGGCAGGGTCTTCAGCGTGAGCTTGAGTTGCGGGCATCCAAACCAAAGACGAAAGGGCAAAAACGGGCTAACCGTTCTGGCCCTTTGCGCAGGGCTGCAACACGTGCGAAGCGCCTCAAGCCTGGCCAAGCGGCTGGCCACAGCACGCCTGCCTCCAACGCCCATGAGTCAGACGCTTCTGACGGCTCGGACGCTGACTTGCTACAGCTGTTGTTGGACGACCACCAGTCCGAGTCGAAGAGTGACTCAGACCGTGACGAACTTGAAGACTTGCTTGCGATGTTTGAGGAAGATGTACAGGATGACGCCCAAGTTGGCGCTGCGCCAGCCTGCGCGGCAGCTTGCAGCACGGAGGAGGCAGCCCCAGCCCAGCCATCCCGCCCAGAACCTAAAGTTGTTCCTGCCGCGCCCAAAGTCACAGACTCAAAAGTGCCAGCAGCTAGCCGTGCCAAGCTAGTCACAGAGCACTCGCTTCCTTTGCCAGGGTTAGGTTCGATTCGGTTCAACAGTCGGACCAACACACTGACAGCGCACTGTGAATACTTAGGCCACGGGGACTGTAGGCGTCAAAGAACATGCAAGCCGGCAGGGGCAAGCTGCAGCATCAGCAACTTGGGGCAGGGCCGCCCTCTTGGCCTTCTGACGGCGTGGTTGCAGGACGGCCACAATTTTGAAACTAAAGACCAGCATGTCGCTGAAGCTGAGTTGGGGATGGACCATGCTCGGCGCGTGCGCGCCCGTGCTGAGCTTGCCGCAATTGATGGCGCTGCGGCGTTCTTCGCTTACGAGCGCCCGAAAGCGGCGCACGAGGCGCAGGATGAGCCAGATTTCCTCCGGTGACTGCTCTCAGTGACTCAGTCATCAATGCAAGATGATGGACCCGTTGATCATCGTCCAGAATTTAAAACCACGCAGCCGCTAAGTGGCCAAGTGGACGTGTCGTGAAAAAGGGTCTTGCCCGCAAAGTGTAGAGCACCCCAGGCAAATCATGTGTTCTGCCGGAACTGAATCCCTGGCAGGATCTATCTGCTTTTCCTGCGCAAGGACTTCTTCAGCCAGGCTGATGGTCTTCGACTGCGGCAGTATGTCCAGGCAACGATGTTTGGCGAAAGCAAAGCCTTGTTTGAGACTTGCCACTCATGACTGCAACCAATAGCCCTAAAATTCTACAGAGGCTTTTTGATTGTGATTCAGAGCGCAATTCGTAGCAGCCAGTGGCAGACAGAAGCAGTAGGCAGTAGCAGCTTGTAGCAGACAGTTAGTAACAGAATGTCAAGGAAGCAAAGCGTGGCAATCAGCGGGCAAAAAGCAAAGCAAAGCCAAGCCAAGCCAAGCAAGCAGCAAGCAGGCGCGCAGAAGCGCTAACAAATGCTGCCAACTAACTATGAGGAGGGCACGGTTGCTGCTTCCAAGTTTGGGTTCCCAAACTTACGCTAAACACGCAGGAGATTGAAGCTCGGCAACAGCGATGCCAACCTACCAGCGTCGCCGAGATTCTGGCCAGCGTTGACCCAGCCGACAAGGAAGAGCAGCTACGGCAGTTGCAGGACTTTGACGAGAGGGGTTGTTTGCTTTTTCCGGTTTGCTGATTCTGGGGCCAACGGCAAGTTTTGGGTTGCAAACAAAGGTTTTTGCGCGCGATTGCAACATAGTTGCTGCTACAGGTCTCTGACCACGCGAGCAAGTTGCCGCTTACTTCCCTTGATCATTCTGTTGTTGAGTGTTCATGTCACGCTGAGGCCCGCAATCTGGAGCCCTTGGACCCTTGTAAAGTGAGGTCACCCACAGTCAGGTCAGAACTTGGCAACTCCTGAAAGTTTGCAATCCCCTCTGAGATTTTCCTGAGCGCTGTTCCTGTCTCTGGTCTCAGTTTTTTTGAGTCTGATTTGAGTTTTTTTTGAGTTTTTTTTGAGTTTTTTTTGAGTCTGTTTTGAGTTTTTTTTGAGTTTTTTTTGAGTTTTTTTGAGTTTTTTTTGAGTTTTTTTTGTGTTTTTTTTGTGTTTTTTTTGTGTTTTCTGCAGGTGTTTTTGCATTTTGCCCCTCCCCCACCCCCGACCCCTCCCCGACCCCCAGAACCCTCCCCAGACCCCTCCCCAGACCCCCCCCAGACCCCTCCCCCTCCCCCTCCCCCCCCCCCCCCCGCCCCCCCCCCCCAAACCCCCACCCCCCCCCCCCCCCGCCCCCCCCCACACCCCCCCCCCCCTCCCCACCACCCCCCCCCCTCCTCCCTCCCACTCCACCACCTTCCAGCAAATTATTCTGTCACCGCAAACTTTTTGCACCCAGAAGCTGGAAGCCCTTTCAGCAGTCATCTCGCTTTTGTCTTGCGCATTGCTCTGCAATAAGATTGTGAGGTTGCTTGGCTGAAGCTAGCAGCAGTAGGGTTGAATCTTTGGACCTTGGACCGCAAGACTCTGCTAAGATGGAAAATAGCTCATAGACTTCCGGCCCCGAAAGCCGTGATTGACAGGCGTGGTTGGACAGCTTTCTGAGGCTAAGGTGGGTCCCCCAGACTTGTGACGTGGGGTGTTTGCCGCACTGAACAAATTCAATGTTTCTTTCCTTGATTCTTGTTGCGTGACGCCAAGTCTGACACTGGACATTGCGTGGATTGATGCTTTCCCCATTTTTTGCAGCAGAGCCTTCGCGATGGCGATCGTGCTCTCGCAGACAACAGGGCTGATCATTTGACAACAAACCTAGGGACGTGACTTGAACCTCGGGCTTTGGGCATATCTGAGTCTTGGGATAAGAGCTTGTTCCTTTTGACCCCAAACTTATGCGGGAAGACCTTTTTGCTGTTTGTGAGTTGGTTGAACGCGTGGCTTGCCGCTTTAGTCTGGGCCAGCGGACAGCCCGTCTGCTGGCTCAGGGCAACACTGCCAAAGCAAACAATCGTCAGTAGGAAGTAGTGTCAGTGAATGATCGCAGATGGGTGTATTTTCTGGACAGTCAAACATCAAAGAGCTTATATAGTCGTTCTGCGGCCACCAACTCAGCCATTCAATCGTGTTGTGCGGAAAGGGGCCTGACAAGAGGGCGCTGCTTGAGGGTTGCTTTGTTTCTAAGATGTGTAGATTCAGATGCTCCCTCGTGCAGCTGGATAGGGGCAGGTTGGTAGGCAGAAGCATGGCGACTCAGGTCTTTTTGGTTGTGTCTGGCGGCAAGTGTTTCTTTCGCGTAGCCAATTAATTACCCGGAGCTGCCGCCGCACTTGCAACCGCATGAGGTTTTTGCAGGGTGTCGAATTCGAATTCTGGGTCAGACGGTCAGATGGTTCAACCTGATTTTTGGACTTTCGACTTGAGTCTTGAGACCAAACGGAGCTCACTATGTTTCTCGCCTTGTAAATCTAGGTTTGCGTCAAAGCTTTTTGTTTGCGGGAGATGTTTTGCCAGTTACCAGTTGTTGCGTGTCGCCACGTTTTCCGGCGAAGGAGCAAGCCGAGTCGCGAGCTACCTTGGCCAGCTTGTCCCAGCACGGTGCCAAGTGGAAGACTCAATCTGCTACGTGGCGAGAAGAGATGCAAGTTCCTCCCAGCATGAAGCCGTGGACACGCAGGGCTTCGTTTCTGGGGGCAGGGCTATCCAGAACGGACCGGGCCTTGGACCTGCTTGACTGCGTGGCCTGCGCAGAGCTTTTGCGAAAGAAGGGCCGCGTGGGTGGTCTGGCTGACGCCGAAATCACAGAAGCATTGTCAGGCACCATGGTGGACGTGTCGCAGAGCCACGCTCGCAAATGCTTCACTCCCACCAAAGAGAAACCCCTGCCCACTTTCACGACCAGCACCTGCTTGTACTCGTACTCCACGGACAGTGTGCTGGTGCCAAAGGAGATGTGGATGATGCACGGCTTTTCAAGGGATCTCCACTTGCCAGGCCATTTGTCGCGTTCGCAGCTCTCAGATTTGATTGGTAATTCCATGAGTGCCCCCTGCCTCGGGCACATGCTGATTTCGCTGTGCCTACTTCTTGAACAGAAGAAGTTGCGCGTGGCAGAGCCGTGAGAAGTGCAGTTGCGACCCACAAGTCACTAGTCACTAGTCGCAAGTGAGAGTTGGAAACAACCTGCTGCTATTGTTTTGTGCAGTCTTGTCGGTTTGTGTTTGTGCAGTCTCACGGTTTTGCCAGCCAGGCAGCTGAGGCTTAGGGTGAGACCTGGGGCCAAGGACTTGGCCCAGGCCCTGAACAAGAGCTTAGACTTTGAAACCTTTTTCATTTTGGGGGACTTTTTGTGTGTTGCCACAGTTTCATTCTCACTTGGCCTGACGGCCTGACGGCTGTGGAAACCCTTGTGGCCTTGAGTTTTCTTTTGCAGTTTCTAACGTGTTGGGATTGACAACGCCCCCTCTTTCTGCGGACGCAGTACGCGCAATGTCACTGGTAAGACTGACAGACTGCCCTTAGTTGGGACTCTGTAGTTGTAGCATGCAGCAGCAACCTTTGCAGCCACTAGCAGCCAGCAGCAAATAGCACTAAAATCCAAAACACATCAGGTTGCTGTGCTGGAAAACAGTCTTGCGCCACAAGCGGCGCTAGTAGCAGTAGCAGGTAGCAGCTGGCAGTTTGCAACAAACTGCCTGCAAATTCACCTTGCGAACATCTGAGACAAGCTCCGGACAAGTTTGCAAACGTGCTCACATTCTTTTGCGCAGGGAAGGATGTTGTGAGTGTTTTTGACAGCAGGCTAGAAGGAGACGTGACTTTTTGCAGACCTCGCGGCTCTTGCGTGGAGCCACGCCTTGTCTCGCCCCCGCCGCTTGAGAGAAACCGCGTTTGGCCGTTGTCCTGAGCCGCATGCCGAAGGACCAGGGCAGAGTATCACTTTTTCATTGCAGGGATTTTGTTTTGAGTTTGTGTCTCCCGACAACGGGGTTGATGACGGTCTTGGTTCACGCTTGTAGCTAGGATCCTAGCTACCGAGTATGAGTAGTAACCAGTAACTAGTATCTGTGAAGCTTCCGGCAGGGCAAGAACAAGGCCCCGGTCGTGCGGGTCAAGAAGGAAGTGCAGGATGACGCTTTGTCCACCAGCGCTAGTACTCATACACCAGCCACCCGGACATTGGAAAAGCCTGCGCAGTCCCCGCCCGCGAAGAAGTCTCGAGGGAAGGTCCCGCAAAGCCACTGCATGCTCTGCAGTGCCAGTAGCAAGGACCGGGGCATTTTCAAGTTGCAACGATTGTTTGTCGAGAATCCGAGGCAGAAGTTTTTAGGTGGAAGTTTCTAGCCGAGTCACTGCCCTGTCAGGACGCCCCGTTCCCCCAAGACGCCAAGGGCAGCCCGCTTGGGACTGGCTGCGTGCGCTGCGTGACAGCTGTCACCATTGGCGCCTGCAAGGGTTGGGAAGAAGGCTGCCAAATCTTGAACGACGCTCGTCACCCTGAGCACCAGCGAACCAAGAAGCTGGTTGATGAGTGCACAAAGTCGCTCGCCAAGATTGAGGAGGGATGCCCCCCAACGTGGAAGCCGCCATCCTGCGTCGAATCCGCTGAGTCCACGGGCGTAATGCACTACATGGACGTTGGCTTTGTCAGTGACGCCGACATAGAGAGGCTGCTCGGCCTCACGGCACGTCAGCTTGGGCTTTCCAAGCCGGTCTCAAGACCCAACGAAGATGGCTCTGGTCGCAGCAACGGATTCTTCATCAGCCTGCAGGACATCGGGGACCTCCCAGTGAATGAGCTGCTGGGCATGCGAAAGACGCGAGTATGGACCACGCAGCATCTCATGCACAGCGAGAAGCTGCTTTGCCCAGATGATCAGTTGGCGCAGGAGCAGGGCTCGGTCGTGTTCAACTTCGCAGTGCAGGCTGATGTTCAGCAGAGGGACACTGGCCTCAAAAGTGGCGGATTCCATCACCTGTTCACCTTCGCCGACTTGCAGGCCAAGGCCGCCAAAGAGCTTGCCCGGCTTGAGGTTAAGCAAGGCCAAGGCAACCCTGATGGAAAGCCAGGCGAGCCAACCGAGGCTGAACAGGGCGATGACATTGTCGTCTACGAGCCTGGCGTTGCGTTGGGTAGCATGGCCAGGCGCCAAACCGCTGCCGCTAAGAAGGTAACGAGGAAGGCTGCCGTCAAAAAGCAAGCCCAGCAAGTTGAGGGAGACCACCAAAGCATGAGGTCGGGCTTGTCAGATGCTGGCAGAAGTGACAAGAACAACTACGGAGACCGCAGATCGCTTGCCGACAGCGGTTTGCAGGAGAGCGACCCAGACCTGGTGCCGGCGGCGCAACGCCTGGGGTTCGTGCCGGAGTGCTTTTTCCGGTTGAAGGTTGAGAGCTGCTTTGAGGAGAGGCTTGGGCGCACTATCTTCCAGGCGCGGGGGGTAAGTTGGTTGGGGCGTGAGAAGTTACATGGACTCGACATGGACGTATTAGCCACAACCAGACTATGACTATTATGACTGTCACTGCGGGGAGACTCTGCTGTGCAATCACAGCCTTGACAGGCCAACCGTGTGCTGAAGACATTGGAGGACGCGAAGGCAGCCCAAGCAGTGGTCCTCCGGAATCGGCTGAAGCGGTGTGGCTGGGCATCGTCCCTGCAAGAGGCGTGCGAGCAGCCAAGCTCCGCAGACCCCGCCCGTGTCAAGGAGGCGGTTTGTGGCCTGCTGGCTGCCGGCATTGAGCTGCCGTTCCGCATCAACATCTACTTGTTTCAGCTGCATGCCAACAAAGCTTTCAGGGACATTGCCGATGCCAAGGGCAACGCCGAGGTAGCAGCCGCGATTGACAGGTATGCCGAGATGCTGTCGCCTCTCAGCAACGATCCCGCTACCCAGCTAGATGAGTTCGACCCTTTCCACCCACAGGTGGCTTGCTTGGTGGCGCAGCTTCTGGATGAGATGTCGCAGGTGTCCACCGAGAAGCAGACGGATGAGTGTCTCGCGCAGGCGAAGGCAAGGAGGGTTTTGGGCCAGCAGGTAATGATTCAGGCACCTTTCGCCTTTCCATGCCCACACTGGTCACCCGTGTCTTTGGCAGGCGTTGGGGGACAGCATGCTCAACTTCTTCTTGAACGACGGCTTTGTGCAGCTGGTTCAAGAAGTCCAAGGCAAAGGGGGCGCAAGTCAGGAGACCTTGGCCGCGCTTCTCACAGCCTTGCGTGACATGTTCGCTTCCTGCCAGAGGTGTGAGGGTGACTGGTCCAGCTTGCCAGATCCCGTTGTCAAGGTGAGTGAGCGCTGCATGAAGGCAACAAGCTGTTGGCTCACATTGCTGGTGCCAATTCCAGAGGCTTGTGGACTCAGCGTTGAAGCTGTGCTGCCTTTCTCTTCGTACAAGGGCAGCGAGATCTTGGAGGGCCTTGTGCACGAATGCTTGGTGTCAAAGCCGTTTTGGCAGGAGGCTTTAGACCAGGCAAACAAGTTCGCTGGCACGACCAAGGAGTTCTTTCCCAAGTTGAAGAGTTCCCACGACTTGATTGCGCAGCTGGAGCACAGCCCTGTTGACCAGGATATCGGCTTCCACATCAAGGTCTTGGTGGAAATTCTGCGGCTGCTCCCGCAGCTGCAAACCAAGCTCAGGCCCTCAGCGACTGATGGCTTGGAGGACTCGTTGAAGAAGCGCATCCCCCCAGCCATCAAAGTCATTGTCAATTCCCAATCTCTCGAGAACCTTCCAGTTGACTTGCTCTTGCCCTTTCTGCAGTTGCTCGAGCCCATGGTCGGGTCAGACGTCCAGTTGGCAGATCTCCAGGAGCGGCTGCAAGCTTGGCACTCGACAAAGGCTGGCGAGGTTGCAAAGCTGGAGGCGGTTGCCTTCTTGAAAGGTCTTCAAGGCGACGCCCCGCTGGACTGGGGGCAGTTGAAGCAGCACTTGGGCCAACTCGGCGCTGACGATCTTGACGCTGAGCTCCAGACGGAGGTGGATAATTCTGTTGGTGTGGTCTTCTGCCACTTTGAGGACGAGGCCGGGTCCGACTTACTTAGGGCGGTGAGGATGTTGAACCTTGACGTTTGACACTTGTCGTTAGACATTCCAGACTTGACCTTGCACTTGACTGTAGAGGTAGACTTGCGGGATGCGACGTTCTCTTGATTTGCAGAGTCGAACGCCCAGAGCAAGTCACTGTTCTTTTTTAAGCTGTAGCTACTGTCTTGTCACTGTCCTAGCTGCGCTCTCGCTTGAATGTGCAACGCTCTAGGTGAAGAAGTCTACTTTGTCCCCTGCCGACTTCCAGGCCGTGCTCGTGCCCGGCCTCACGGGCTTGATTGAGATGACCGAGCACGCGGCCGCAGGCTTCATGCGTGCCGCGCTGGAGCTGGCAGAGTCTGCCACCCAATACGCAGCCCTTTGCGACAGGTACGGCAAGCTTGCCTCCACCAGCGCGGACCGCATGCAAAAGGACCCTGGCAACGCACAGTTGAAAGCTTGTGCGAACATGCTCCAGCGTGTTCACAAGCGCCGCCGTCAGCTTCTCACGGAGCACTTGCCTGCAGCAGAGGAGTTGAGCAGCCTGCCAGAAAATGACCCGCGCAGATCAGCCATTCCCAAGCACTATGAGAACCTTGACGCCGAGATCTTGATGTCAGCGGTCAAGACCAAGTGCGAGGCAATGCGCAAGAACTTGCTTGGCCTCCAGGATGATCTGCAGCAGGTTTGGGCTGGATATGAGATGGGCGGCGCGCAGGATTGGAAGGCAAGCATTCCTGAAGACAAGGCTCTTGACGTTGACTGGGTGCTCAAGCAGGCTTCCGCAACGCTGCAGAAAGTCGACGGCCAGCGTCTTGGGGAGCTGCTACAGGTCAGCTTGCCCGAGGACTTGGGCGCGAAATTGTCTTGAGTCGTTCCTTTCTAGGACCCCTTTTCTGGCTGCCAGCGATTGAGATGTGACCGGCGTCATCCTTTCATTCCTTGTATTGTTAGGGCTGTTAGGGTTGTTGCTTCCGGGTTTTAAAAACAACCAGTCAAGACTCAGGCTGACTCAGGGTCATGACTTCGCAAGCAGCCAGGGTACCGGGTAGCTAGCCGCTAGCCGCTAGAACCATTCAAATGCAAGTAGCTGCAAGAAGAGTGAAACCTTCAGGAGGAGAGCGCAGCCGCTGACTTCATCAAGACTTTCGCCCCCTTGACGGAGGTCCTTGGCGGGGCGCCTCCTGAGTGGGATCGGCTTCGTGAGGTTTTGGGTCAGCTGCAGGAAACAACCAGCACATCTTTTGTTCTCTTTTGCGAGGGGTGTTTGTACCACGCCCTTTCGTGCCGCACAAAATCCCGTGCAGTGTCAACAGTGCGGGCGCAGAACTTGTTGTTGGCGTGTGGCAAAGTCAAGAGGGAGCGTGTCCAGCCTGGGCTCCTGTCTAAGGCTGAGCAGCTTCTGTAGCGTTGCCCCATTTTCCTCGCATTGCTTTGGGCTTTGCAATCTTGCAACGGGCACGCAGCTGGTTTTTAGCAATTTGGGCACAGCCCACAGACTTTACAGATTGGATCCCGAGGCGAAAATAACAGAGCTAGAGTCTGACTCAGCCAGAGCGCGTGTCTTTCAGAGCAGGTTTGTTTGTTTCAGATTCGATTATGCCATGCTGGCGTTCATTTGTCAGCATGTGACGTAGCGCAGTCATTTTCACAGTGATGAAAGCTTCGCATGATGCACAGTGCCAGTGGAATCAGTGGAATGCGTGCTTTGTTTGTGTGGCTTGACACAATACCACTGGCCGTCTTGCTGCATTCTAGGTTGTAGGTAGGGAGAAGGTGTTCACTCGTGCTTGGGAATGGACTGAATTGTTTTTGAGTTTTTACTTGTGATGTGAGTTGTTGCTTGAGTTGTTTTTGAGTTTTTTTTGAGTTTTTTTTGAGTTTCTTTTGAGTTTTCCCAGATTCAGACTATTTCAGATTGAGTTTTTTTTGAGTTTTTTTTGAGTTGTTCTTGAGTCTTCCCAGATTCAGATTATTTCAGATTGAGTTTTTTGGATTGTGTTTTTTTTGAGTTTTTTTTGTGTTTTTGCAAATTCCTGGATTTGCGGCCTGTGTGGGCGAGATCAGGTCTTAAACCTAAACCAAACCTGAAGCCACCCTGTACTCGCGCACGCGCACGCGCACGCGCACACGCACGCGTGCGACGCGCGCGACGCGCGCGACGCGTGCGACGCGCGCGACGCACGCACGCGCGCGCGCACACATGGACACACGCACACACGCACACACGCACACACGCCCACACGCACACACGCACACACGCACACACGCACACACGCGCACACACACACACACACACACACACACCCACCCAACTCCACCCAACCCACCCACCCTCCACCACCCACCCACCACCACCACCCACCCACCACCCACCCACCCACCCCCCAGCGCGCGCGCGCGCGGCGCGCGCGGCGCTTTCGCCGGCGGCGCCGGCGCGCACGAACGCAGCACGCAGCCATATGCACGCACGCACGCACGCACGCACGCACGCACGCACGCACACACAAACACACACAAACACACACAAACACACACACACACACACACACAAACACACACAAACACACACAAACACACAAACACACAAACACACAAACACACAAACACACAAACACACAAACACAAAACACACAAACACACAAACACACAAACACACAAACACACAAACACACAAACACACAAACACACAAACGCACAAACGCACAAACGCACAAACGCACAAACACACAAACACACAAACACACAAACACACCAACACACAAACACACGCACACGCACACACACACACCCACGCATGCGCACGCACGCAC